TACTTAATTAACTTTTACCCATAAGAAATTATGGCATTTTTATTATTATCTAATAATCATATATACCTATTTATGTTTTATTTATTTTTAAGATAATATTGAAAAAATATATGTTTAAATGTTTAGAAAACCTTATCGATGATTAATAACGCTGTGGAATAATTTTATCGTAAAAACATAAATAGATTATACACTTTTTTTTTAATATTTCATAATCCTACATAATATCCCATGTAATGTATATGTAAACGTAAACAGTTAAATCTGTTATCAAAACCAATCTAGTTGTTAACATTTCTCGAGTGAGATGTCTATAATACTGTAGGTACATAAAGTATATAAATGCAACCGATGCATTGATGTTTTGATTATGATAAAAATGTTAATATCCGATATTACCCATTTTAATACTTGATGGGTTCCGTAAATAACAAAATAACAGATAAAAAACCATTGTGTAGATTAGTAATTCTATCTAGAATAAAGTAAATATAATACAAATTAATACATTTAAATTAACATTTTTTTTTAAATCGATTGATCTTAAATATCGGTGCTTGAGATTGATTTTCGATGTAATCCGTTTAAATTATATATTCCTAGTCTAATAACATTAATTCGAAATTTCTTATTCGTATATTTATTTATTATAATTATTTGATTTATTTTATTTTATTGTAAATTTGATTTGTCTACTCAATTTTATAATTGTATAATTGTTTTTTTTTGTTTACGCGTGTTTACTATATTTATATTGTATGTATGTAAATTATTAAAATACTATTTATAACAGGAGCGTACCCAGACATTGTTTATGGAGGGGAGGGTCCAAAATTTTTATTTTATCTGTTCTCTAATTATAATTATAATTTAACTCAATACCAAAAAATTACTGTTAATATACTATAGTGTGGTTTATACATTATAGGTATATTATATAATCTATTAACTTTGTGTATTGAAGATAATGGGAAATTAAAATATACTATATACTATTATTATACTATTTACTATTAAACCGTTAAGTATGTAGAAATTTCAATGAGGGGTCCGGACCTAACCCCCCCCCTTGAGTACACCCTTGATTGTAAAGTAGTTTTATTATTTTATAATACTTATTATTTGTGAACTCTAATGTTTGTGATTTTAATAATGGTCAAATATTTGAATTATTATTAATTACTCTTATTTTTAGTATTAATTAATTTCGGAACCGTTATATCATGGTTACATAGAATATAGATCTTATGTTGTAAACACTTAAAAAGTATTTAGCGACTGTTTATACTCGTATTATATCATAAATGTTTACTCGTGATATATGATCTAGAATTATCTGTTATTAATTAATAATTGCTTTATTCATGATAAATATTCAATATCCATATAACAATATAACATACCTAAACCTTAAATGTAACTAATACATCAAAATATATTACCTATGTGTTTACATACTTAGTTTCAAGGTGCATACAAATCCGTTTTAAAAACTAACTACGTCGTATTATATTCTTGATAATCAAGTTAAAATACTTTATTCATTTTTTAAATTTTAACAATATTTTACTAATGAATTTAGTTCAACTATTTTGTTTGTATATAACTTAACACGATTTTTCCTTTTAATTTATATCAATTTTATAAATATTTTAAAATACCTATTTATATAAAAAGAAAATCATTTTAACCAACGAAAAATTCAAATTTTTTATTCTAATATTAGTTAAAAAATATAAATTTTAATGTGTAGATACGATTTGAGATTTTTCTTAAATGAATAATTCAAAATGTTGCAGATTAAGAAAAAAATCTTATGTTTTTTTTTTTTTTTGAACCGACTACATTGGGGATTATATGAAAACAACTTCTCAACTAAAAGAAATATGAACTTAACTATATAAACTTAACCTTATATTTAAATGAATTGGTGTTGTTCTGTTAATTATTATTTATTTATATTATTAATTCTTTACTAATTATTATATTATTTAATTGTAATTTTTTTTTTCTTATATTATGCAGGCAATTGATTTATTTCTACATTTTAAAATGTTTTATATTTTATACAATTTTAACTTTGACCGCATGTATCAGTCTCTGTGTCATTATTTATTAACCCCTTTATTTAATGTAAAATCTAAAATAAAAATTAAATTAAATTGATGACAAAATATATAGTTACAATTTTGAAAAAAAAATTTAAAAAGGATAGATGTACTATAAATGTATCACTTTACATTTTTTTAACTCTCTCTCACACACACACACACACACACACACACAAACAAAAATTTAATGATAACGTTCTATTTATATAAAAATATTGTTTGACTCTGAGTCTGATTCCTAACTATCGTAACTTTCATAACAATTAAAAAATCTATAAAAATATTCAAACTATTATGTAGGTATTATATTTAATTTAGGTAACCTAAAAAAATAATACATTTTTAACATGACGTGTCATTTAAATATTATATTGTCGCCCAAAAATTTTTATTTGTTCTATTGTCTGGGTCATTTTTATCGGGTTTATTTTTTAGTTTATTTAATACCTACTTATATTTATCGATTCGGATTAATATTCCGACATGTGCATTATATAAAACCCAATAATCGCATTGAATGTTTTCATTATATATATATATATATATATATAGACAAAAGTCTAAAGTGTATTTAATCATTTTTTTTTTTCATTAGAATCTCAGATTCTTAACCTTTTCGAGTTCTAGGGTCCCAGACCTCTAATATATAAATAGCAACTTATCTGTTATGAAAATAATTTTTATTTTTAATTATTTTAATTCTTTAATTTTAAAATAGATGAATTATTATTAGATTATTAGAAAAATTTAGATATCGATAGTGAATATTGTGTTACTATACTAGTTTTAAATATTTAAAATATATTTCAATGAATTAATAACCTATTAGTTATTACTAATTACTTATTAATAATATCTATAAAATCTATTTAAAATCTTGGAAATGTCGTTTTATTTTATATATCACCAATGCAATTATTAATATTTGGTAAAAGCGTTGTTATTTCTTATAATGTTTTTCTTGTTATGTTTGCGTAATTTAGTAATGTCTTTAAAATTAATCTGAATTACAATCTACTAAATTGTTCCGCTATTATGAAAAAAAAGTATAATTTTCTTTTCAACTTGTTTATTTTGTTAACTTATGTAACTATATATATAATAAACAGTTAATGCCGTAAACAATAGAATTACAAAAAATATTGTGTTGATTGCGATATTCAACTATTATTCTTTTAGTTATAATATTAATTATAAAGCTATTAATATAAAGTCTTATAATATGTAACATGAAGCGGTTAGTTAATCTGTGTCGATTAAGTTCAGTTGTTAAAAACATTCATACTAGTTTCCAATAATTAGAAAAATATACTGGTATACTGTTGTTTCTAGAGTTTTATATTTTATCTATCCAAATGCGGTAAAAGTCAAATAAAATAATATCTGACTCATGAGTCCTGACGTCGCCATTAATTCGTCTAATATTTAGATCGGGACAGTTCAAAATTGTTTTTTAGTATAGTTACAATTATATTGATCATGCTAAGAAAACGTTAATTTTAATTAACATTGATTAAAAATGAATCGTATGAATATAAGAAATAATTATACAAATAATTATGAATTATAACTATTAATAAAAATATATTCTGTTTAATGCATTTATTATTTTTCGAGCAATTTAGTATTCAGAAATTCTAATATAAAATATGTACCAATTATCTAGAAAAACAATTCACTTTTACTATGAAATTCGTCATCGAAAAAAACATTTTGTCGTTTTATATTTTAATTTATTTATTAATAATAAAGAGTAGTATGTATTATATTATATTTAACAGCAAAATCTTATATTATTCAGTGTGTATTACTATTTAATTTATGTAATATTTTATGTATTAAACAATAATTTACATGTACCGCATGTTCATTACATAAGTATAAATATTAATTTTAGAAAATGCTCCATTTTATTGTTAGAATTAATATCGCTTACGTGGACGCAACCACTAATCATCGCTGTAGTCGTTTGCATTTTTAATAAAAACAGATTTCCTAAATAAAATCATATTAGAAATTCTTCAGAAATCTATTTTATTAAACTGAATTTTAACAATGACAGTAACTTCTAGTGGCTGCGTCCACGTAGGCATTATCAGTTGAAAAAATATGATGGCGTATATGTATAATATGTTTTACAATCAATGATTTGAATAATTATTTATTAATATTAATTATATATTATAATATATTTAATATTGTTAAAGCTCCGTATTTGTTATTCTGTATTTATCAAATACGTAATTAAGTCAATAAAGATAATTTACATTATGCAATAGCTGTACACTTATGTCATAACAATTAAGATATAATTCACCTATTGTCAATGGTATTCATTGATGAGCATATTTAATCATGTTTTTTCGTATTTTAACTAAGTTTTATTATTCTTATCTAATTTAAAAAAAAAAACACTTTGATATAGTACGGTATGGTATTTACACCTTTACTTAATTTTTTTTTAATACTTTGAATGAACATCAATGAAACTTATTTTGTAGGTAATTATTTTGGTATTTAAGGTGAAAAATTGAAATTTGGTTGTTGTATTTTCAATTAAGAATAATATTAGAAATATATTATTTTTACTGGTTTAGATATTGATAAGAATATGTAATATAATATTTATTGTTGATTAAGTTTTAATATCTTTATTCTATAATAGAAAATTAATCATTTTACCAAAAGAATTTGTTTCAATATGTATGTCCTCAAAATACATTCGTGAGCAATTATTGTTTATACGTATATCCAAATATAAATTAATCTAATAGAGTATCATTTTATTTCCCCTTAAGAATCAACATACAATACTCTTACATACACGAGCAAAAGAATATGAAATTGATTAGATCATTAGATTAATATAACAATAAACTTGTGTTTCAGAGTATGCTCGATGAATTTAACAAAATTGGTGCTAACCAAACCACTGGGATCAGACATGTCATCTTCGTTAACCATAGCTGTGAAAATGCAAGTGCGTATTACATGTTTCAAGAGTTAACAACTTCTTTATTCTATATCATTTAACTGTATTAATCAAATACTATTTATATACTACATACAAAATTATAACTTAGGGATCAAAGAGAACTTTACGAACAAATGAACTACCCTTGACTGTAAATGGTTCCTTGGAAATAGAACTGCAGTTGAACTTCTGTCTTCAGGTATTTTATTAGTGACTGTTTAAGTATGAACATATTCTGATAACTATGTTGAACTGTATAATTATTTTATGTAGTATCCACACTTCTTAAAAAGAGATGTCAACAAATTACACGTAATGCTTCAACGTCGAAAGAAATATAAAAATCGTACTATACTTGGTTTCAAAACATTAGCAGAAGGAGTCATTAATATGTCACTTGTAATTTTATATCGACTGATAAAATTTAATTTTGTTCAGTCTTAATGTTTAATTTTGATTTAGGTACTGCAAAGACCTCTCGATCTCGAATTAGAACTACTCAGTGATTCTAAAGATCCCAAATCTCTTCTAGGCCGGGTATACATTGTGTGTTTAAATAGTCAACCTGTCGATCATGAAGATGCTACCAAACCAGTCACAGGTGATACATTAATTACTATACTTATTAATTATTACTACCATATTTATCCTAAATGTTTTTAATAAATTATACAATGTACCCTCTTTGTAGTAAAGACATTCAGCTGAGTTTATTTAAGTACATAATTATAATTAAAATAAATTCAAATTATGTAGGAAGAGGTCAAGAGTTTTCCGACGAAGACGAAGAATTTAGTAGTGGAGAAGAAGCGTCTGATTCTGAACCTACTTTGGAAGACCGACGGCGGAAAAAAAATATTGCAACAGGAAATGCCAGAGTAAAATAAGATTTTTTTTTTTTAATTTATGTGTTATAGAATTATAAAATAAATATGTAAAAATATTTTCTTGTAACATTATATTAAATGTCGTTTGTTATTTGTTATTAAACAGCAAAGAAATCTAAAGCAAAAGTTTATTGCACTTCTAAAACGATTCAGAGTCAATGAAGATTTACATTCATTAGAAAATGACAGGGAAACGATTAGCCAAAAGTTATCAGGTATATTTAATAAAACATTTTTAATTTTAAATGTTTATGAACTTCCGTTTTTAGGGGGTGATATGGATCCAGCTGATATAGAAGATCTTTTTGAAGAACTGGAAGACTTAAGCGATTCAGGGCCAGATCTGGACACATTATCTATTTTATCTACACCAAAACCATCACTTCGTCCATTCTTTTCCAGTTCTCGAACAAACATGATACATGAAGGCCTTTCAGGTTCGTAATAAAATGTATAATCTGGGGTACTCCAAAACATGATGTATCAATTATTTATGATATAAGTATAAATTTTATGGTGCAATATCTTACCTTTTTATTGAAATTTGATTTTTTATTCATTCAATATTTATAGTATCTATTATTATGTTCAATAACAATTATTTATGATCTCAATCAAGTATTTTTATTTTCCAACTCACATAAATGAATTGCATTTAGTTTATCTACTTGGCAATAACCTAAAATAAAAAGTCATAATATTCGTTTTATGAAACCAAATAGGTTTATTTATACATACAGTAGAGTATCGCTGGACCGGACTCTATCCTGATTATACGGAATGATTTTTTTTTAAGTTACATATAAATATTTTTCCCAATATTAAATCGAAACGATAAAATCTTTACACATACATGGTTACTTCCCGAATAATTAAAATTTCATAGAGGTACTTATAATTATGCTATAATTTAGCAAGACTCTATAGTATTTTGTTATTTTATTTCATATACCTCCTTAGTATTTAATAAGCTAAATGTACATGTTGTGAATATAATTAATAAAGTAATGATGTACAGAATTTAACTGTAGGTTTATGAAAATTTAAATGTAAAATGTCAGTGTATTTACAATATACAATGTACATATAACAATACATAAAAAACTGGGTTGACAATGTCTCAATGTTACATAATTAGCTTCGCCACTGACCTTTACCGGATTATAGAAAAAAAATATTAAATCCTAATTTCTGTTATTTATAATATTGAGTATGTTTTAGTAAACTTCGTTTAAATAGTTTACGAATTTGGTTGTTAATTGTCTTACTATATTTTTAATGAAAAATGTTGTTTTATTTGCTTTAAGTATTCGTGAATTATTTGATTCAAAGAACTATAGAACAATTTTTTAGTAGGTAAAAGAAAAAATATTGAATTTATCGTTAATTTTGGTAAAAATCGTCGGTTTAGAGGTACATAATTTGATTTATTATTATTTAGCTAATTCATATTTACCTTTATTAATATTTCAATAAAACCTTATTAGATCAAAAAATGTTTTAAAATACTATTCTAAAATTTTATTGCAGTTTAAATATTGATTTCGTAAAAAACATATTAAATTTTAAGAAAGTCGTGAGGAAAATATTGCGTTATTAATTTCATACGTGTTTAAGTTTTAATTATTATCATAATTAGCATGTGAATGATTCTCCTATTTTTTTCGTAATAAATTCAATGTATATTTGTATTTCATAATAATGTCAGTATGTCAATGAAGACTTAAATACCTATTATTTTCAATTGAATTAACTTTTTTGTTGAGATGACGATGTAATATTTTTATTTCTAATTAATAAAATATTTTTTATTTTGACAAAAAACCATAGGCATATGCTTTGCCAAGGATTTATATGTTTTGCGCTTATTTACCAATAGTGACTTCGAAAACACGTTTTATAATACAAATATTGCCTAACAAGCTTACAGCTCTGTGTGCGTTAAGGTATAATAAAAACACGAATTGTTGTAGCTTAGAAAATATACTATTAAATACACTTAATCTTCACACCTTCGCGTTTAGGGTATACTTTGGTATTAAACTGTATTTATATTTTTAACAAATATTTTATAGATTTTATTATTATTGTTTTAGTATTATTAGTCCTTAAATAGAGTACTAATTTATATAAAATATACCTAAAATATTTATATATTTCTAGATTTTTTTTTCTTTATTGGATTGATATATTTATATATATACTGACTGTTGTTTCATAAATTATAATTAGTAGTAATAGACCTGACATTTTCAATGTCTATATTTTTCTCTAATTTGACAATAACAACTAAAGAATTTAGTAATAATAAATATATCACATTCCATACATTATTATTTGGTATTATATAAATCAATATTAGATTGATACTCATATGCGTACGCACTGGGGTGCCAGATGTATCAGAGCCCCCCCCCAAAAAAAAAAAAAAAAAAAAATTGTAAATTGGTCCAACAATTCAAGTCTAAGAGTGAGGGGCCCGTATTTCAACTAATATTGCTCAAATTATATGTAATTTATTCTAAAATATTTGGTAAAAAATACTTAAATGATTTTTCGTAATAGAATAAAAAACATAATATTCTAAATGTTCGTGCAAAAACTTGTTATTATAATATAACAGCTGCGATTAACTACAAAAGTACAAAACATAAATAATTGAAACTATTAGAGAAAAATATACGAGATTCAAGGAAAACATATTCGCTGGGACTAATATACCACAATATTAAATAAAAAATTCATAAGTTATGTTCATTAAATTATTTATACATTATAATGTATTAAATATACCTGCACGTTTTGTTAAGATAAGGTCCATTATATAGGTACTATATAATCGCATTTATTGTACAATTAATTAATACAAAATATTTATTAATCCATTTTTGCTTCTATTGAAGTTATAAACTAATTATGTCACTCCCTATATAAAATATAACTTCTGTAAAAGGTAAAGTTGTACTAAACTTATAAAAATAAATCGAATGATTTTCTTTTTTGAAATAGTTATTAGAGTGGGTATCTTTCAGTGTGAGATATTAAGGTACTTATATTTTATATTATGCTTGTCGTAATTTGTGCAGTAATATTTAAAAAAAAACCTGTTAATATTGTCTCTTAATACTAGAAAATTCAATAGGTACGTCGAATCCATAGCTAACTTAGCATTACTTCAATAATATATAGTACGAAATTATCCGAATATTGCTGTAAAAATAAACTAGTAACACACACTTAAATTATTTATATATTTTTTCACTCTGTCACTAGGACGTCATTCCCATAAGAAAAGTTACACCACAAGTTTTCCACCCTACAACAGAACCAAAGGTTAGCACTATGAAAATTCCCGATCGAAATGCAGTTATAAGCACAAAGTATCTTCTTTTATTGTATTTTCTTTATACTCAATGCACATTATAATATTTATTACTAACAATTTCTCTATCATTCTCTTAAAACATTATCTTAACAATGAAAATCCCTTTTTAAATGATTATTGATAATTTTATAAATATTTTTCTTTATTATCGCCTTTTACGTCTTTTAATTTATTTATTTTTCATTTGTATATTAATTATTACTATATTGCATGTGCACGTTGTATATAAATAAAAACAAGAACTCACACCATACACTAACTCACTTCTAACAATCTAATCGTCTGTTAGGTTTTCAGTTTTAACTGTTATTATAACTGAGTAGTTATGCAGATTTTGTGGTTTGCATGTTTTGTTTACCTTAAATTAATTTTAACGTTGTTAAGTTATGAAAATCAATATATATATATCTCGCTCAAACCTGATAGCTAAATCATCATATAATTTATTTTTTGAAAATCCTTTAAAAAGAGTTTATCTTTTATCACATTTTTATTATTATTTTATCACATTTATCTGAGCGCTTAAATGTTGACTAAACTGTTTACACTCAGATTTGTTCCGAATGTTAATAATTGTATCACTGATTTTAGTTAAGTTATCAGTATGATTTCATAAATTTGGCATTAATTAATAAATTGATCAAAACTTGTAACTAATAACTTTTCTGAAAATGTTAACTAAGCATTTTGTAACCAATGATTTTTTTTTTTATTTCTTCACTAGTTTCCCATTCGACATTCTGTGCACCACTATTCATCATATCATCTCCTTAAATAATTTTCAGTCGTGTATACCTCTCTCCTTACTTCTTTTGATGTTGAACCTTGTTTATTTCCATTTTTCCTTTATTGATACTATTATAACTCCTTGGTGCATTTACCTTTACTTATTATTATCTTTTCCCCACTTAAACACAATTCACATCCATTATTATATTCGTGACTTCCATTTACTTTTTTCTATTCAAAATATTATTCTAATCAATTTCTCTATTTCTATGCATACCAAGTAATAATTACTATCATTGTATTTCTCAACTCGATTTTCCTCTTTCTCATCTAACTTAATTTATATCACTTGGCAGTTTATCGTGTTGAACTATATTTACTCATAGGCTTTTTATAGATTACGATTAAACATAAGACTATATATAAGACCATTTATCGTTAATAGACCATTACTATGATATAATATTATAAGTTATAATTTTAACATAATTTATAACATTATTAAATTTTTTTAATACCAAAAACACTTAATTGTTAAAATCATCGTTGGATATATGTAATAGAGAACACAATATTTATTTTATTAATATTCTCTGTAGAGGAAAGCGAATGCTCTAATTTTAATTTTATAGTTATTTATATTACGAACAAAAAAGTTAAAAATATTAATTACCATTCGGGTTATTATATTTTTATTAAAACAGTCTGTTGTCATATTAATATTAATAATAATCATAATAATTATATGTACAATGCACGTGAATGATAAATTCTAATAAATAGCCACGTGCATATAATCTGGTATAAACACGTTTAAATTTACATCGATTGAATTTATGCTTAGATGAGCACAAATCTTGTAAGGAAATATATCACGAAAACTAATTTCAATGAAAAATAAATTTTCCAATTAACACAAATGTCAAACGAAAACTCAGTGACTGTACAGGAAATAAACTTTTATGGTTGTATTACTTTATCATTACGTAAATGTGTAATGTACTTGTGTTTATATTATTATATTATGTTTACGTATTGTTGTTGCAGCCTTTCTGTCACTAGCTTGACAGTTTCAATGAACAATGTAGATTTTACATTTGTTTTAATAGCTATACTTATTGTCTGTAATTAAGAAATCCGGATATTTTTAACTAACATAATTTTCAGTTTAGTGTTCAAATAATGTTTTGAATAATAGACACGTCATTTATAACCTCATATGTATACTCATACATTATAAACGTGTGTTATAAATGTGTTTTTCTTTAAAAAAATAAATATATTCACATGTACATGTGTATATATCAAGAGTCGAAATTCAAATAATATTCAATATTCAAAGCAGAATATTTATTTATGAAATTAGTTTATTGTCTCATTATAATATTAAACAACTTTATAATATATGCTTTAGGCCCTCTGCACACGAGGCGATTGTAATGCGACACGATTTATGCGATATATGCGATACGAACGATTTCCTATCAAAGTTAATGGGGATCCACTAACAATGCAATTTAATAACGACGCGAGCGACAGACGTTCGCCCGACCGATAGTGCTTGGCAGTTGCATCGCACGAATCGTGCGCAATTACATTTTTATTTTCGTCATATAATATTTATTTATATATAATTTAAACTATGGAGGTATTCAATATTAAGTTTGTTGGTGAAATTGAAATTTCTTCTTCACTCACGCATTCTTTCATTTTGGTATTCTTCTGATAAATAGCAAGAGACATATGTCTACAATTTATTTGTAGAATTCCTTTGACATTCTGTAAAATGCTACAAATTTAACGTCGGTTTCCTAAAGTTCTTTAGCTGAAACAAAACGTCGACAGTGGTTATTTCTTTGAATATAAGGATAAATTTAAAATTTCCTTCTATGATCTTTTCTTGCTTTTTTCTACCAACCAACTTTTTGTACAAATAGTACGTAAAAATTGCTTCGTCGTTAGATGAATTCGACATTATTAAAAAAGGTAACCAAAGAACCAAGCAAACGTCAGTAAACGACTGATAATAACCGAATAATACATAAAGAACGATAATAATAATCGCACAACAATCGCAACGTGTGCGCCTCCATAACCGCACAGATTGCTTGTATCACATATATCGCATAAATCGCGCAAGGATCTTATAGTTTTTTTTGTATTACCATCATATTTTTATCTGACTTATTTATTGCGGTGAAAATATAAGTTTGTAGTCATGAATATAAGATGATGTTAATATAGTTATTTTTTATTTGTTATTTATCCAATAAGAGTGGCTATTTTCATTAAAATTATCACGCTAATTTATTTACGTAAATATCTAATACTCGTTTCCAATTACAAGTATGCAAACTTATAGTCAGAAAATCTATGCCTATACTTTTATTAATTGATATTAAGTTATGAACTATAGTTAACATAACTTCCTATCCCAAATTTTCTGTTATAAATATTATCATAATTTTCAATTCCTAAATAAAACTATTGTTCTGTCCTAATTAGTGTTATATCACTTTTTTGGTTTTGGAACTAAGATTACATGCGATTTTCTTTAATGCTTTACATAAAAATATTTTTTTAAAGCTACACCAGACATTTATATTGATCAATTTTTTTGTTTGCAAATTTCATTTTTAATCTATTAGTTTAATATTTGTTATTAGTATAGTAGACTATTAGTACAATATTATTTTAAATTTTGAATAAATTAATTTTTTTAATTGTATTTTGATGTTTCGGATCCGTTGTATGTTCCATCTTCCAAAGAATGATCATTGTTTTCTGATTGTTACATATATTAAATCCAAAATATTATAATATAATTGAAAATGTGAATGTACCTGCATTATAATTTAAATACCTACAATTTATATTTTCTGTATATAGTAATTAAGTCAATCAAATTAATTTTGATGTTTTAAACCATAAGTGATTAACTTTTCTGTAATATTTTTAATATTGAATGCAATATTGTTATATACTTATTACTTATATAAATAATGATGTAAGTGTTAACTACTATTATAATTTTCCATAACTGCATGTTTACCTTTCTTACCTTTAGTTTCTCTTTATCTACTACTCAATTTTTTTATAATTTAAAACGTTTTAAAAAATGTATTGGATGGGGAAATATTATGCTTAAAGACCCATGATTCTATAAAAAAATATCTGAAAATAGTTGAAATTATATGTATAGGTGTACCGACTGTAGAACGTAATATTGAGAGGTTTAGCGATGAGAGCTCTAAAAAGGCCGATTCAGATTCTTATTTGGATACATGGACTGATAGTGATCCTACTCCTATGAATTCTTCTCCTCCAAAAATAAGCAATAATGATGATAAAAAGGTATACTATATATCTTATATATTATATTATTATTCAATAAATATTAATGCAAATATTGAACATATTATAGGAAATTCCTAGCATGGTGGAAAAAGAAAAAGAAAAAAAATCTAGAATTTTTACTAGGGACCGTACTTCGTCATCAAACAAGTACAAAAAATCTCAAATGCCAAAACCAGTGAATGATAATGAACGTACAAATACAGGTTCAGGTAGTGGAAATTTGGGAGAAAATGTTGGCTCCATGGCTGAGGTATGTCAGAGCACATAATATTTTCCATTAAATTTATTTTAATTTATAACAAATAACGACAGTGTTACATTTTAGAATTATTAATTAACAGAAATATTTAGAACATACAGTTTATGTTTACATTTAAATATATACTTTTTTAAATTTCTATGAAATTTTAGTATATATAAACATTGGAAATTAATATGTCTGTTTGACTTTATTTAATATTTTTTGCAAAATCAATACTTATTATAAAATTACTAAATAACAACATGATATTTAAATGAATACAGACAGAATAAAAAATGTGTATAGAATAAACTGAATTACTTAGTTATTTTATTAATTAAAATAAAAAGGTTAAAATTAAATCAATACATTTTTTATGATTTTTATTTATAGACCAAAAGTTAATTAAAAGTGTTTTGATAAATATAACAACAATTTTATATTCTTTCTACTGATCAATAATATATAGACTGAATCGCTAAAAATAATAAACTTCCATTTAATTAAATAAATAAAAATTTGTTCTTATTTAATGTTATTATAAATAGTACAGTTATTATATAACACTAGTCAGACTAATTTTTTTTTATGTTTTGCTTTTAGCCTAGAAAAGTATTGATGGAGCAACTATCTAAAGTTTTGCCACCAGAAGATAAAATGCCTGAAGTATTATGTTTAATACATTATGCAGATCCATTGGGTGTTCAGCTTGGATCCAAATTGCAGAACTATAATTTCAAAGTCATCACACCAGCTAGTCTTGCTGATGTACGTGCTACATTTGTGTGCATTGTTAACAAGATACAAAAATAGTAAGTTAACCTGATAATAATAAAATGAGTATTTATTACTATATGAAACTTAATATTGTGATTTTTTTTTTTTTTTTTTTTTTTGTAGCTGTAATTCTAACCCTAAACCTCCAAGTCAAATTAAAATATTGCTTGCTGGTTCTGATAGCTTTGTGAATTATGTACTACGACAATATGTTGAACAGTTATCCTTCAAGCCACCTGACTGGATGAACTATATAAAATTTTATATCATACCATTGGGTAATAGACTTCAATAATATTCAACATTTCTCAACTGTTTTACTAGTATAAATATGATTTATGTACAGGAATAAACACACTCTCAAGATATTTAGGTACTGTCGACAGTTATTATGGAACTACTTTTCTTTTTAAAGAAGATTATTGGAAGGAACAACTAGAATGTGGTGATGGAACTGATATAATAGGCAAAATTCAAAACTATTTAATGGAGGCCTCTAATACAATTCAATTGCAAATAGCTGAAGCAATGCTCTCTTATAAAGAAAAAAGGTACATAAATTAAAATTAAAATTAAATCCAATCTATGACTAAAGAATAAATTTTACAGTTCGGACGATGAAGCTTTACAAACATTCATACCATTTGTCAATGTAAGTATATTTAAATTTTTTATAATTAGTATCAATTTAAAATATTACAGAAAAAATTCAATAATTTTCATTGAGTTTTATTATTAAAGTACATTCTAAAAAAAATATTAATAACTGATTATAATTTTTTTTTTTTTTTGTTTCTGATGAATATATTTTATTTGAATTTGTGTGGTTAATTTTAAATAATTCAAGTTATTCTTGGTGTATGATTTTTTATAAAATGTTAATTTAATATAAGTATTCTATTGTATAGGATGTAAGAATTTGTTCTGGTGAAACAGCATCAGGTTCAAATGACACTGATGATCAGTCTTCCATCATTATTGATCGCAAATCCATCATGGATAAAACAACACCACCCAATTCACCTAATATTGGTATGCAGTATTTACCATTACCCACCAAACAAGCTAATTGGTAAATAATAATATAATTATATAACCTCATACTAAATATTATGGTTTTAAAAACAATTTTTTTAATAGGGAGTTATGTGAGCCATTAGAATTACAACTTGATTATTGGTTGGTGCCTAACGCTAACAAAGAATTAACTACGAGAGGAAATGAACCTAGCAATAAGCGTATGGATACCAAGTTCACATTAAAGACTGGTTTTAAAAGTTTACACATCTCAAGACTGTTTTTGACTAATGAAGAGCCACTAACATTTTTTACTGTTAGCTACATTAAAGAAAAAAAACAAAAAAATTAGTTTTTTATTTCGTCTAGTTAAGTTTTCAATTACTATTGATATTATTTTCCTTTTTATATTTATTATAGTTGTTAAAAAAAAACATCAAAAATATTTATGTTTAAGAATTATCTTTAATCTCGCCTTTTTAGCACATACATTTAATTACCTACACATTTCTCCTAATTATTATTTATTCTATTATAGTTATGCGACTAGGAAAAAAGAAAGAAAAAGAAAAGGACTTGGATCCCAAAAACCAAGTTATTGATAGTGTATTAAGATTAATCTGTTCTCCAAAAACTCAACATTATCCACTCACTAGTAATATATCACTTTTAATACAATTTTTATTTTGAATCTATATTTATATTTTAAATTTTCCGTTTATTATTCAGTTACTATTGATGGGTATGAATGGAGTGGTGTCAAATTTTTTCAACTGTCGTCCCAGTGGCAAACTCACATCAAACATTTTCCAGTAGCTGTGTACTCACTAGATTATCAACCAACAAGTCTACCGCATTTAAATCATGGACTTTAAATATATTTAACTTGAAATACTGGTAATTATATTGCTAGTAGTATATATTGATAAGCATTATATATTTATTTACCAGACAAATCTTGGTGTTTTAAATACTTGAGTTAGATTTTCTATCAAGTTTATTATTTATGCATTTTATAAATGTTATAGTCACTATTACTTATATTGTAATGATAGAATATGAGCAAAACAAAAATGTGTATAATTAAATGTATTCCAATTTATTAATTGTTCGTAATATTTTCATAATTTTATATAATTTACAGTACCTATTATAAAATAAATTAAGTTTAATTTTATAAGGTAAAGAATAATGTATAAAACTTTATTTTTGCATGTAATTAACTCTTAACTTAGAAATTCAATCATAAAAAAAACTCAAAAACTTGACTAAATACTCAATAGTCATAATGTCATAATATTATGGTATCATCTAATCTACTTGCTAGTCATATATAGTCACATATCCTGTAACATATATTTAGTTATAAATTGAAGTATATATGATGAAACATCTATAACTTGAAAACTCTATAACCACTATACTTCAACAATTCTGAATTTCCATAATTCTAGATCCTTATGTACTAAGCTTTATTGATGGTAATTAAGTAGTTATTTAGTTTCATAAATTGATAAAACGCTTATCATTAATGGTAGTAAGTAGAACCTAAAATCCTAAGGTATTCTTTAAAAAAATTCTGTTAAATAACTATGCCATATGAATATTAAAATTAAAAATTATAATTTTGTTTAAACATATGCAACTGGCTGAGATTAACAACCAAATAATTACTGCAACTTAAATGTTTACATATTAATACAATTACTAAAAATATATAAACAATATATTACGTACTTCAGGCTATAACTATAATGGATTTCTATGATTTATTATTATGTCAAAATATATTATTTATAATATATAAATAACATCCAGGCGTGTATACAAAAAATATTTTGGGAGAGTTTAGGTTGTACATTTTCATACTTAAATAATTTATATAACATTTTAATCATTTTCCTGAATTTCGGGGAGAGGGATTTAACCCTTAAAAACCCCTTTGTATACGCGCCTGATAACAACATTTTTTTGTATGTTAATGTTATACTTGTTTTCTATGAAATGTATTTCAAGTTAACTTTTTATCCGATATTTAAAAAAAAAATTCTAAATTTATTTAAATTTAGAATTTAATTGTTTTATATCTTTATTATTTTACATTATAATTAATTTTAATGAACATTTTAATTATTTGTTTCAGTTATCTAATATGCGTTAAAAAAAAAAAACCCAATATTATTATTTTAAGTCCTGCCGTCAAATATATTTTTGTTAAGAACAGTTAACTCCCCTGTTTTTATAAATTACTTTATATGTTGTGAATATATAAAGTAACTATCAACCCTGATAATTATTGTGAACCTTATATCTATTATGTTTATTATCGTAACCAAAGACTACACATTTTATTATTATTGTACCTAATTATTATTACTACATGTGTGAAATTTTATTTATTTGTGATTTTATAATTTTAACTATAAAGACTTTTTTTTATGAAAACGATTTTTATAACATAATATTACTATTAAAATCATTTGTAACATTTGTAATAACACACAATTCAATTCAATATTATGATTGAAATAACAATATCAATAGACTTAAGGAACATTACTATAGTTATTATTCTTATTATATCGCTGTAGCTATTATCATTATTATCATATTATTATTATATTTATTAGTGTCTAATTATAAATGATTAGAGACGTCAATACATCACAATAATCAATCCCAGTTCGACCAATGGTTGCTCATCACTTTCAAACTTTCAAATACTATGCATCAACATCATTGCTCATCGGAGTATTATAGATTAAATGGATTGTATTGTAATGAGTAGTATTCGAATCTCATGTGAACAAAACTGCCCCATTTTATTAGCGAGGCTTTATTTACTTTCTTTATCTTCTTAACTCGTAAACAAAATATAGTACCATTAAAGGATTAAAATCAAACTACTAATTATATGTTAACAATTTATATGTATAAGAAAAAATAAAAATTTGTGTGATACCATTTAATGAAATTCTACTATAATTACTAATGTACCGTGTTTATTATTCTGTGTATACCTAAATTAATAATTAAGAGTTCAATTTTACGGTACGTTACCTTTGTAGTGGTTTTACTCAATTTTTTGAGATCTCAAGACTAAAATGTTTTATGAGGGCACAGCGCTTGGAGTAGAATTTCCTACACACAAAGAAATTTTATTCTCACTTCAGTGTTAGCATCAACATCTGTTATTTGATGTTTAATGTTAATCTAATAAAACCTATGTACAATTATCTGTAAATCAGCAATTTATTTGGTGATGTTATATATTATAATAATTGGTGTGTGTTGAGTTTTTTCATTTTATAAATGGAAAATTACTAAATAAAAATTAATTTATTATTAAAACCGATTTTTAAAAGATATAATTCAATAAAGTAATTAACTAGCTCAAATAATTTTGATTATGATTTACAAAGATACGAATATAATTGTTATTTGTAATGTTTTGATACCTTTACATTAAATAATATGATAATTGTTTTTTTGTATCCATTTAACTTTGATGTGTTATAAGACATTAAGTCGATGTTATAAAAAACAAATTTAACTTCTCCTAAAACTTTAAAAACAATACTTATTCAAGCTTTTATGCCAAATATGAAAACAATATTTGTTTATCAAATAGTATCTTATTATATTAAAAATTTCAACGTAATGGAATGAGATGTCCCGTTCATAAATTTTATCAAATTTATCGTAAAATTAATCTTGACATATTTATCAAATAAATCTAATTTTATTAATAAAGGTAGTCGAATTAAATTAAAGTTTTTAAATGAAAAATATTTTATGAGTTTTCCAGAAACAACAGTGACAGTCAGTTTTTATATGTTTCAATCGCAAACATCAAAAGGTACAGTTGTCAATTATAAATCAAAAAATTTTATTATCATTGGTCAAGCATGAATTATTGCAATCTTATAAAATTATGATTTTTGTTTCAATCAAACTGTCATTAACACATATTTTAACAAAACTAATAAAGGCTATTTATTTGTTTAATCTCTATTCTCTATTACTGCCAGTTGTTTTTATTTTATTTGATAATTAAACAGACTCAGTGATAATTAGAGTCCGGATTTGTATGCATTTCGATGGGAGTAAGAAATGTGGACGATTTGTGTAACAGATAATGCATAAAAAAAAGTTATTTTGTTTTAGTTTAGTTAGTTATATTTTAGTTTATTAAGCCAATTATTTTATTTCGATTTCATCGTAGAAATTATTAGTTCATTACGTATTTTCGGGAAATGTTATTTTCCGTATGTTATATTTTTAGACAGTTTCTGTTAAAATTATATCTCATTTATCGCAACACGGTCATCGACAACAATGCTGACTGGTTTTATTATTAGACTTATATTTTTTAAACACGCCGCATCGTGTTTTCGCGTTGCCGTTGTCGGCGGGCATAATCGCCAGTCAATCATTATGCCCATATAACATTTCGTGACCCGCGTTCCATAAATTTATAAATTAAAGTTTACATTTCATTACAATCTATAAATTTTAAAATGCCGAAAAGTCGAAGCACTATTCTAACTTTAATAAAAAATATTTATTGCTCTTTATAATAAAACAGACCAAACCATTTTTAGTTACCGCGGACGGCTGTGTAGTGTTTTGTATGACAAAAAAATTGTGTGCTCAAAAAAAGTTCAGTTACAACAACACGTTGATACCGCTTTACATAATAGTGCTCAAAAAACAATTATTTGTATTGGATGCAAAACCGAAATCTGGTAACGTTTTTAATGAAGATCTTTGTGTAGCTTTGCTAGTATATAATATACCTTGGAATAAACTTCAAATTCCCGAATTCAAGAATTTTTTAGAGAAGTATACAGGTAAGCATATTCCTGACGATAGTATATTAAGGAAAAATTATCTTGGTCCATGTTATGATAATGTTATTATTGCAATCAGAGAAGTCATTGGCAACTCAGATATTTGGATTGCTGTTGAAACAACTGATACAAACGGCAGCTACATAATAAATTTAAAAGTTGGCGTCTTAAAACATGATACACCCAGTCAACCCTATCTTTTAGCATGTAAATAACTGCCTAAAACCAATCACTCTACAGTATCTCGATTCATGAATGACAACTTGAAAATATTATGGCCTGCAGGTGAAAACGATGAAAACCTACGGTTGTTTTTACCAGATGCAGCACCATATATGGTCAAAACAGGAGACTCATTAAAGGTCTTTTACCTAAATATCGTTCACGTAACATGTGTAGTGCGTATGTTAAACAGAGTGGCAGAAAAAGTTAAAGAATTGTTCCCTAATGTAAACAAATTGATTATCAATGTAAAAAAAATCTTTTTAAAATCACCTTCTCGTATTTAAATTTATAAAGAAACGCTACCCAGTTTGCCATTGCCACCTGAACCAGTTTTTACAAGATGGGGTACATGGATAGAAACAGTTATATTTTTTGAAAATAACTATGATGGTATTAAAACTGTAATAGAAAAACTATACAATGATTTGTCAGCAAGTGTAGAGAGTTGTTAGAAAATGTTCAATTTTCCTATGGTAAAAAATGATTTTAGCATTTATAAAAATTAACTTTTCTGGACTCATTTGGGCAATTACAAATTTAGAAGATCCTAAATTGACTTTAGTGCAATCATTAGAGATAATGAAAAATATCATTTCAAAACTATCATATATACAAGGTGACAAAGGTTCTATTATAAAAACTAAAATATCACAATTGCATCAAAAAAAATAAAGGGTTTCAAGTATTGGAACAAATTGGACTAATTATATCAGGTAACAATGAAATACAACTTCCAGAAAACTTAAACCCTTGCTCTATGGCCAACATGAAATATGCACCATTGACATCAGTCGATGTGGAAATATCATTTAATCTTTATAAACATATACTAAGTGATAGAAGGACAGATATGCAGTGGTGTTATGGAGGATATACGCGGGTATACGACGTATACCCGTGAACCATTATGCTGATTTAGCGTACACTTTATAAAAGTAACACGTATACGCTCGTATACCTACTTCATAAATGGAAAAAAATCCATAGGACATTCGATTATTTTTAGAAAATTTGTTATTGGTAGGTTAATAATAACATTGATAATTGATTAATATTTATAGCTATCGATTATCGTCCAACTATATTCATTAGGTATCAAATTATAATATCTACAAGCAGCTGTTGACGTTTCTACACAAAAGTATACTAAATAATGTGGCCATTGATTAAATAAACATAGACAGCCCAAGCAATAATAAATATTGGAAACGCCTAAAATGTCTCAAATGAAGCCAGAATTGTAGTTGTAATGGATTTCTGATAACAGAATGTACTGGCGTTCCATATAAACATTTGTAATCTCCAATTTATTGTTATCCGTGATCAATGTTGATACATTACTGATAATTTATCAATGATAAACTATAATCAATTTTAACCGTTGTCATTTATTCCTTTTTATTATGTATATGTTCTGTTAAAGTTAATTGTATATATTTTTTATGCTTTGTAGTTACCTATTTGACTATTACATGATTATGCTTTTATTTTACAATTACATTTATATTTTTTGCCTTTAAAATCGGGCGGTTATTGAATTTTCCATAGAAGCTTTAAATACTTAGATAAATCAAGAAATAATATGGGATAAAATGAATACACATTTTTTTTTATATATTGAAGTTTATATTTATGAACATAAGATCCAGAAGACTTGAATACTCGCGAGCGAAGTTAAAACGTCTTTTTGAGTGATAAAATCTGATAAGTTTTGATCCTAATGAATACACAATAGTCAATGTCATAAATCCTTAAATACGCGTATACCCTCTAGTTTTTTTTGCCAAAACACCACTGCAAATATGATACCTGAGCACGTGGAAAAATATATCATTGTCAACTATTTTTATAAAAATTAAAAATCATACACTGTATCATCAAAATATTTTTTATTAATAACAAAATTATGTTTTTAATGATTTAAATTGTTTTTTTTTATAAAATGTCTTTATTTTGTATTTTTTTTTTTTTTTTTCATAAATATGTACCAAAGAAATGGTATAAGAGGACTTAATACATTTTTATTTTTGTTATTCTTAATTAAAGTATTTGTTTTATTTGTTGAATAAATTTTTAAATATTTACTGTTCTTTAATAAATATTTAAACATGATGTCTATAATTAAAAAGTTAAGTTTTTCTAATTTTGTTGAATTATTATTAGTGGAAGAAATTTAAAAAAATATATTAAAATGCATATATTTTGGGTAAGAGCATGTTTTTGCATATTATTAAAAAAATAAGAGCATATCAAGTGCATATTTTGAATATTTTTGATGCATAAATGCATAATATTTTGGGCTTTTTGAGTGCATACAAATTCGGACTCTAGTGATAATATTTACAAATATATACATAAAACAATGATGATGAAGAAAAAAAACATACTGTTTTATATTATTTATTACGGTTTACTATTTTCTATGACAATGTTATAAAAAAATGCATATCAACTTTAACTGTACAATTAATGATTATACAATATTGTTGAGCATTTTAGTAGTATAATAGATAATTAACAACAAATTCAGACATACAAATACATTAAATTATATACAAGTATGTTAAATTTTTCTATTTATAAATTTTTATTTTGCATATACTTTAATATAATGTCTCTTTTCATTTGTGTGAAATGGTTATCATAAACTTTAATAGTGGATTCATCGAAATATGTATTAAACTTTTTCCAATTCTTTCTTCTAGTAGGATCTTTCTTACAATTTTCTGGAGTCATTTTGATCATTAAACCTATAAAAACAATAAAATATTACAATTTAAACATTATAATAATTATTGTTAAATAAAAAAACATTTACTACTATGCTATGTTAACTACTTGAATATCAATTAAAACAAATACAAGAAAGTTCCTACAAATTATTTTATAAAAATATTTCAAAAATATGATGTAACCTGTATATATTAATTAAATTTATTCATACACTAATCATTGGACTGACTGCAATTAATTTAGCTTAAAATTATAAATTTTACATGGTTGACAATAACAAATTGAGTATTTACTAAAATAAATAATATTTATTTTATTTTAATATTTTTAAATCATATTATGATTTAAAAATATTAAAATAATTTAGTGAATAGCATGTGGTAGACATTTATCAAATAAAAACTTAAATAATTGTATTAAACTTGACTCGATTAATTGAATAAAATATATATTTATATGCACAATTGAAAGCATGACATAAATGCAGCTTATAATGAACTTATAGACTTATAACTAGATTATTAATTATGACACTCCATGTGTTAGAATATGATTTTTTTATTTTGTTACTGATATTGTACAATTGAATAATTAGAGATATAATATAGTGTTTTATCCCTGAATAATCAACTATTACAATTTATTGAAACATACTGACATGTAAGTATTAATTGAAATCTTATGTTTTATTCGGTTAGTGTAAGTTAGACCTTACCTGCTTTATGGGCCATTGACACTAATTTGGATACTATTTTCTGCTGTGTCGGACAAAGACCGGTGACTCGTCGAGGCATCATACACCCATCAGGTCGAACAAATTGACTCAGAATCAATACGTCCTATAACAGAAATGTTCAAGAATAAATACAAACAAACAATGATTCAATGCAATCGCGCGTTATGTTACCGTATGTTTTATGTTCAAATCGAGACTGCACAACGGGCAGCATTTACTCTTGTTCTCGATGAGGTAATCTTTTCTAGGCGATGGTACATAGGATCCTTGGATGATCAACTTATTTCCGAGTTTGTTGGCTTGGACTGAAAGGCAAAGAAAACAGGTAAACACCTAGAGCACATCAAAGCTAACAAAACACCACGGCACTCACTCTCCTTCAGAAGCGTTGCCGCAGTAGTGTGCAGACCGCTGTTGGGCGTCAACAGTTTGGCGGACAATCTGCTCGCGGCTAACATGGTGCCCGTCAACGGTATTTTAAACATTTTCAATTTGTTTGTTAAATCCGTTGTCTCGCGTGCACAACGGGCCGACCGGCTAAACAGTAGGGTAACGCCGTGCAATTTTCCGCAGAAATTTTAATTTTTTTTCGTCGAACGATAACAACTCGATGGTGATACGGTAAATGCGTTCGTTCAAAACCGATACTACGTTCCAACCGCGTTGCGTTATCAGTGGAGGCGTTTTCGTGTTTAATCGAGTGGTTGATAACACGTATTCTCGGCGCAGATTCCCATCCGCGCTCGTACGTCGTGGGGAATTAGAATCCAACGATCAGAAATGCCGAATGACGAGTAACCGCTGAATGACTAGTGAAACGACACAAACGTTTCTTCGAACGTTCGTTCGCTCACGCGCGCACTCGACACCGGACAGTGGTAACTTTATCGAACGACTCGACGTTTGATAATGGAGTACCGTACGCCAAAAGTTATTCGGATCGCCGATACGGTTTTGATCTCCGTGCCATAGGCACAATAGGGTTTTTAGCACACCCGGTTTTTTTTCAGATCTATATATAATCTATAATAATTACAGTAAAATAACATGTAATTTTATTTTCAGCAATTTCAGCACTCCCAATATTTGGGCGCTAGTTGCGCCCGTGCTCGGTGCACTTCTAAACGAACGCGTACAACGGACAGTGTCCGTTGCATTTTATCAACATCGCTTTACCCCGCCGTTACAAACGATGATTGTTTCGGTGTTCCGCAGTGGCGGGTTTAACGGGGAAGAAATGGACATTTGTCGCCTGATAATATTCTTACCCGAAAAATGTCCCCCGGACCCAGTCCTCATTTATTTCAATTTCAAATATAATTGGTCATTACTGTTTCCGAAGTTTTAGATTGTAATACGTCAAATAATATACCACGATAAGTAATTACAATACCGTATAATGATACGAAATGCTCACACGACTTACATTGCCCATTTACTCCGTACTGCGAAAATATACACACCGGCATCATCATTAACAATTTTTATTTATATTGTTTCGTGGGTATTTAACACGCGTTATCGCCGTGCCGTACCGCTGCGTTGACTAGCGTAATGACACGTCTATTTTTATTCCAGCAAAAATTCTTAGTATTTAATTTTGTTTAATCGTAAAGTTTACGACGTTAACATTCTGGTATTCAATTAAGAACATCCGTCGGACACAGGAGTAGATTGATTAAAATCATAAGGTAAGAATATAATATTTAATATTATTGACTGTACAAACGTTTATCGAATTTTGACTTTCAATATTTAAGTTACTATACCCTACAATAATAAAATCAACCGGTTATATGTTTGAAACTTAACCGCGTGTTTCGAACGCTGCGATTAATCGCAATAATTAAAACGCATAATTAAAACGTATTGTAATAGTTGTATGGGTTTATTCACGCACTCGCTCATGAGACGCGTTTGTTCAATTTTTAACGTTCTTAAACTACAAAACAAATATTTTTCCAATGCATTTCTTTTTTTTATAACTCGCGGCCGATTCGAATACCGCGCGATCGCAACGCGATTTATTTACCTCCATTCATAATTCGTGCCTTCAACTTTGTATGAATTACAAATTGTATTAATTTATATTCAAAAAACATAATTTCGTATAATCGTTTGTAATTGTACGTTCATGTTCCTCATGCAGAAATTATGTCCAGATTATATGAATAAAATTATTTTACGCGGAAGCAATTGTACTGCGTATTATTAATAATTATTAGTATCGCAATATAGTCCCCCGATGCGAAATGGTCGAAAAATGTGTTGGTCGTACACTGTTGTTTCGTAGTGGATTTTTCGCCCATACGTAACTCGTTTCTCACGACTTGAATCCCTTTACACGCCTGCCCGTTTGGACCGCTGAAAAAACCCGTCTAGACCCGGCATCGGCCGAATACGGACGAAAAAAAAAACAAAATATTTTGTTTTTATCCGACATCGACCGTGAAAGACCGAATTTCTCGGATGTAATGTGACCGGGTACAATTGAATTTTATACTTTAATTTGTTTCGTGCGTATTCGGCCTTGTTCGGCTGAACGTTATTTCGGCCGATGCCGGGTCTAGTCTGACCGTATACGTATAACGTATAACGTTATGTCCTAATTCCGTGCATTGCGAGCATTGCGTGCACGCAGTTAAAACAAACTGCTGCAAAGTACGGACATGTCCTTATTGATCGTATGACGCGTGCGGTACGTTTCATCGCACCGCACAAAATAGAACCTGCTCTATTTTTCAACGCAACGTTCTGCGGGCAAGACTTAATATTGTTATGTAAATTGAAATAAATATTCTCGTATTTACATAAAATTTGTATTTTTTGCGTTTAAAAAATGGATCTTATTTCTGAAGTACAAAGAAGAGCGGTGCTTTGGAATAAATGGGATCCAAAATTTAAAGATCGCGTAGTGATAACATTCATGTCCAATTGCCCCTCTTTTATGTAATCAAATGTACTTGTTACCATTCGCATGTAAAAATGAAATAAATTATCATCAGCGCGTAATTGTGCATACAAATGATGAAATTCGCCAAATTAAAACCTATCTTTATAAATTTGGTGTACCGCATTTTGTTTGAGCTTTTTTTTTTTTTAAATAATCAACTAAAACACTAAACTTTCGGATAATAACATTTTACGTTGTACAATGGTTAACGGCATGTTGACGACTGACATTTCACGACCTATCGCACGTATAAAACGGACGTAAATTTTGCCATCGATACGTTGTATATCATTATACATGTATACCAAACAACATAATAATGATTTGTAATTATAACTAATTTACCCTGCCACATTATAAGCTCATATATTATATATTTATATTCTTCTTTGGGTGCTTTTCGATTCTGAATGTTGGCAACCATTTTAGCAATTCTCTCTCTTTGGTTTATCGTTGCTTACAGATATAAATTAAATAACATTATATACAAGGCCGTCTTAGGGTATGCAGGGGCTCATGAAGCTTAGCTGACCTTCTAGTAGACAAAAAAAAAAAAAATGAAATAATGGGATAAGAAATAAGATACTTAATGTCATTTCACACATTAAGCATTAATAAGCATTTAACTCTTATTCACCTAAGTTTTTTTATAAGTTGTCGTATTAATACGTTACAGCATAAATTTAAAGTTATAATTTCTATTATTCAGGGCCCTCAGCAAGATGGGGGCCTTGGGCACTTACTCACTTGCCTATATAGTAAACGGAACTGATCAAATGTATCCTACCTTCACAATTTCCCCCCTACAAAAGTGGCTGAACCCATCAACAGCGTTTATATGTGAATTTATATTTAAAATTTTAATACTTAAATAACAATCTTTTCCATTAATTAGTAAATATTAAATATTAATCTTGAAAACTTAATTTAGGTATGATTACTGATAAAGTGATAACTGTGATAATTAATGAATGATTACAAATAAGCTAAAAATATGTTATTTTCAAATTTAATAAATTTTGTTACACTAATGACTAGAGCCCGAATTTATATGCATTTATAAAGTATCAAATATGATGAAAATATGCAAAGAAAAAGTGGCTAAATATAAAATTATATGCATTATGTTACACTTTATAAAATATGAATTTTAATTTTTAAAACCACACTTTTATACCAAATAAAATTCTAATTATTTTATCAAAAACAAAAGAAATTATAATATCCACTGATTTATGTTTCAAATAATTTAAATCAATCTAAAACTTTTTGGAAACCATAAAACGAAAATAGAAATAAAAAAAATACAAATCTTTTAAAATAATATTTTGAAACTTAATACCTATCATCTTAATTTGTGAATTCTCTATTCGAGGAGATTACAAAATTTACTGTAAATTAAATAGATAATTTATTAAAAACCCATTAAATATGCATATTATATGCATTTATGAACAAATATGCAAAATATGCAGTATAAAATTTGATGTTTAAATTCGGTGTGATATGAATCGTGGACATTTCAAACCTCCATAGACGTGCATACACTTAATAAAAACATGCAAATGCATATAAATCCGAGCTCTACTAATGACAATACCACGTATCTAAATTTCACCAATTGTATAGGAGAATGAAAAACTGAATAAATATTAACAAATATTATACCGCTCATATTTTTATCAAGTTTAAATTTAAGTTATGATTAATCAACATTATTTTTAATAAAATTCTTTAAATTTGGTTGCTGTTAAAATGTAGTATGGTTACTTGGTATTTATTAAAGTTGTTATGAGATACGTGTTTTTGAGCAGTGTTTTAACATTGTTGCAATTTATAAAAATACTAAATAATATATCTAATTTGGAAGGGAAGTAATTTATTTTAGGTTATTGTACAGAAAGTAAATTTTTTGCGTAAGGAAATAACAAATATTTTGATACCAAAAACTCATTTTATGTAAAATGATACGTGGTATTGTCATTAGTGTAACGATTTGATTTGATTCATTAAGATTTAGGATCACACCGTGACTTGGTTAAGATATGATTTGACTTATCAATTGTGAGTTGATGAATTGACTTAATGAATTGATTCATTTAATGAAATGATTTACTAAAGTGAGTCATAATTCCCATCTCTAATTTATATTATGAATTATGATAACATTATAGTGATTGATGGCGATCAAACGCATTAATCAACTTGTTAAAATGCAATGCCCAAAAGAGGTGTTCCTAAATTCCAATCAATTAGTTAGATTAGGTGATGAACTTAAGAATACATGGATTTACTACACGTACGGCTTCAAATGTAATAGGAACAGGGATGGAAACGATATATCGATACGACCTTATTGATATAATAGAGTCTTTCGATATTTTAATAAAATAAATCGTCGGGAAACAAAGAGATGTTATAGATTAATAGTAATAGTTATGTTTAGTGTTAACATTTTGCATATTTGCACCACACAATCCACGTTCCTCATTGATTACATCGAAAGTGGATAGAAGTATATAGTCAGGGTTCGAATTGGCAAAATTAAAAAAGGGGGACTGTGTTTACTTAAAAAAAAAATAGCGTCCCCAAAACTTGTTAAGTGTTATAATTATAACGTAATAATAGTAGATGGACGCTTAAATTTCTGAAATTTGGGATACTCTGTGTCTCTGTGTCTCCCCTCAAGTGTAGATTTATATATAGTATATTGTATACGACTGTAGCGGTTACGGGTATCTATAGAATATATATATCTACTATAAAACTATTATTAGAATGCCGATTGGATGATAAAGTGATAAAAGAATTTTGATTATTATCATTATCCATTTTTTTTTTTTTTTTTTTTGTAGATCCTTGTACCCTGTACCCTTTGTATGATAATTCCGATATAAATCGATGTAAAGATATAAAATAGCGGTAGATATATCGTGGTATCGATATTAGTTATGCGCAGTGATGGAACTAGGAATTTTTACGCCCGGGGAAAATTACGCCCAATCATAGACCAATAATCAAATACTCTTCTCGAGAATTGTTTTCTAATAATTAATATACAATCATACTTGTTTTAACATAAGAACAGTATCTAACAAAGTTAAAAATATCAAATTAGTTGTTAATAATTACAAAAATTATACCCCATACGGCCCTTTACGCCCGGGGATAAATCCTTATCTTCCACCCCCTAGTTCCAACCCTGGTTATGCGATGTATCGATGGTTAACGATTTTTTGCCATCCCTAAATAGGAATGGTAGAAACGGTAGTTTTCGACGAGCGTCTTATTGCAGCTTGCCAAATTGGCTGCTGCGCGCTTAGCTCCTATTATCATACCATTATCACTGCGCGAACTATTGTTGTGACAACAGGTTTGTTATAACCATTGGTTGTGATTTTTGATATTTAAACAATTGGCTCCTTTACCTATTTTTTTAACTTGTGTTTTAGTACGTTTGACCTTCTTCGTTCATAATTGATATAATTTCTGTTAAATTTTTTTTTTTTTTTTTTTGCAAAATTTCATTCTTATATTTCTTATATTAATTTTAAAAATTAATTTCTGTTTAGTTTATAATTGTTTGATTTTTGTGAACTTTATGGTGATTATAAATTGTAAACGGTATCCATTAAAATTTTTTGTTCTGTTATATTTGTATCGTAAAATCATTTTTTTTTTTTTTGAATTGTCTTCTAATCTTATAAACTCACATGTACAAGCATGTATGGATGTAAATTCTACATTTTTTGCATTTCAAACATGCCGAATGTGTACATGTTTCATCAGTTTTTATAATATGGTGCTTTTGTAAAAGATTAGATAATAATTTTTTAATTATAGGTATAATTCAAATTCACGCGCGCATAATCAGATTATATTAGAAAATAACATTTGATAATGGTGTGATGAGAGGGTCTGCGCGCGCAGTGTGCCAAGCTGCAACGAGACGCTCGTGATGTTTGGTCTTCATCAATTTTGGGAGATGTGCATCATCCCCATATTATACTCTCCCCCTCCATCAAAACAACCGAGTAGGTATTGACGCCATACTTGAGCGTCTCCATATTTGCCCACTCATCGTCGTTGCCGTTGTTTTTTCCGTCTACCCATCGACCGTCTATTGAACATTTCTTCTAGTACTTCACTATAACTTCACTTAAATTACTTCAAAACTTAATGTTCGAACTAAATGTAATGTTATTTTTACATTGGCTAATAACCTTTTAGCTTTTATCACCGTTTGAATTACACATTTTCTTTCAGCTGGATAAATAACAAATATATTGCGGATCGAAAGAAAACAATAACAATTTACAAGAATATCTTATAGTGAAAAAGTGGCTGTAAACTAGATAATAAGCAATCATATTCTACATTTACCAGGTAAAATATTATCATTTAATTAACTTACATTATTTAATAACTTAAATATTAACTAAGTACACCCTGAATCAGGTTCGTGTGCAAGAGGGGCCTATTTGCCCACTCGTTAGCGACGTCGTTGCCGTTGTTTTTTCGTCTATCCATTGACGTTTAATTAAAAATTTCTTCAAGTACTTCAGTATTTAACACTTTAATTACTTCAAATATTAAGGTTAGAATTTACTATTAAGTTATTTGTACATCGGCTAATAATTTTTTAGCTATTATCACCGTTTGAATTACACATTGTTTTTTAGCTGTATTATCAACGATTACGAACGGACAAGCTTTTATGACAAAATTCAAGTATAATTCGAATCGATTAAAGAAAAAAATAATAATTTACAAGAATATCTTGTAGTAAAAAAGTGGCTGCAAACTAGATAATAAGCAATTATATTCTACATTTATCAGTAAAATATTGTATAAAATATAAAACATTGTTTATTAACTATACAGTAGACCTTGAATCAGGTCCGTGCGCAAAGGGGGGGGAGGTTTGGGAATTTTAACCCCCACGTTGAGGATCTTTTTATACACGTTTTTTCTAAGAATACACCGAGTCCTCGTTCTATGAAAATTAAACTGACTTGAAAATTCATACAAAGTTGTCTATTTTTGTTTTAACTGTGCCAATATTCCTATTTAACACCTTTTTCTATCTAATTTGCGAGCACATTCAACCTATTATTGATTGTAGTAACCGAGGTCACTACGACATAGCTAAAACTACTTTGTAGTTTTTTTCTTAACCTATTTTCCTTGGACGTTGTCGAAAACAATTATCTATTACTATTAAATACTTTTATATTTGGAGACGGGTTATTAGCTAATAAGGGAAACGGGTATTTTAGATATTAAGAATATTTATATTATTTTTGTTATTAGCTAATCATTTAAACGGGAATAGTTGTTTTTAGTATAAGTTTTTGAAAGATTAATATTATTTTTTGTTTTTAAAGAACAACAGCCTTGAGTCTTTTCTTTGTTCTAAACTACTTTTACGCATTATGTGTATAAATAGGTACGTGATGCACAATGTAACCAAACTTATGAAGAGACCGATACTGTTAAACTTACAACGTTAACTTATCGGGCTACCATTACGTTGTGTTTCAGTAATATAATAAGATCACATTTATAATTTAAAAAGTGTTTTCTTTATTTTACTTCAAGCTCTTCTATCAACGAACGTGTAATTACTACAACAAAAAGTGATTCGTCGTAAAAACGTTTTGAGTCAGTCTTTAATCAAATCGGCTCACTACACGATTATTGTTGTAAATGCAGCCATCTATAGAACACATTTTCACAGACAAGTCAGCTATTCAAGCTGTTCAAACATTTATTAATTTTCGATCCTTATATTTCTGATCATGGATATCCAAACGAGTGTTTTTTTTATTGACTTTTAACTTAACATATATAATTTTGAACCCTCCCTTAGATGATTCTTGCGCATGGGTCTGCCTTAAATACATACAGTTAAAGATAGACATTTTTAATTTTAATTTCATAAGGTAAAAAGTTAAAAAAAAGTATTTAGTAAAAGTAACAATTATGGTCGGTTTCTTCTCAAACCTCGTCCCCTTATATTATTTTCATTTGTTTTAAATTCTGAGTGAAACTGAGAATATAATGGTTTTAGCATAGTGTATGTTATAGATCTGAGTAAACCGATGAGTATATTGGTATTATCTTGTATTTTTTCTGGTTTTGTGTGTATGATTTTGAATAGAAATTATTATTCCGATCATTACGAAAAAAAGAGTAAAAGATAAGAAATATTGTCTAGTTGGTACTTTAAGGGTTATTTTACTATTAACTTAACAGTATTTTATTTCAATTACTTAGTGTACAAATCATTGAGATTTTAATTATTTTATTCTGAAAGTATAGAATTGTTTAATTGTTTGATATTTACTGAACTACTTATTATACAAACAATTACTCTATTTGGAATTAACTAAACGTGAAATTTGATTAAAAAAAAAAATACCACAGAAATTAAATAAAACAATTGATTATAAATAATAATAAAGAAATTTACTAATAATATTTTTTCAGGTCCAAGAGTTTGATGGTGATGAACATGTCAAATTGAAAACGATTTATTTCACATCAACAGTTAAATTGATATGAATAGACACATGAATCTAACATCAAACATTCATTATTAACGTCACAAATGCAATAAGAAGTTGACAATAGACATATTTATATTTAAACTTTGAGAGTTACATGTAATTTTTATTATTAATCATTTTAAGGTAATATCTAAAAAAAAAAAATCTCAAAATCAGATTGATTTTTGGAATTATAATCGTTTTGTGCTAAATATACCCAAACATTACAACACAATAACAATAATAATTAATTTTCTGCAATGGAATCCATTTATGTAAATATGGATTTACCAATTTTAACACCTACTGATATTGAAGACAAATCAATTTCTGATGCATATTATCAACTATGCCAACGTAACATCACTACAGATAATGAGTTAAATCACCATAGTAAGCCTGACGAATCAGGACTTTTACGGTATGGTTGTCAATACTGTACAGAAGAAAGATTTAGTTCTCAACAACAATTGGATTTACATGAGCGCACACATGAACCATATATTCGTTATGAATGTCCTAAATGCAAAAAGCTGTTCAAAAAAGAAATAAAATTATTTAAACATTGGGAATCACACACCGATAGACGAAGATTCAGGTGCAATATATGTGAAAAAAATTGTTTATTATTTAGCACTTTAAGAAAACATCTGATAAAACGTCATGATCAGACTGATTTTTCAAATCGTATTCGTTATGAGCTAAGTCTACCACAGCATTACAAAAAAGTATTAGTGACTGATGATGCTGATAATTCGTCTGATTCATCTGATAAAAAGTGTAATTTTTTAAAAAAGTATGAAGAATTTATAGCCGCTACGCAGTATAGTTGTCAATACTGTACAGACCGCTTTACTCATCAAGATCAATTAGATATACATGAGCGCGGACATCAACGTTCAACCGCTATAGGTAATGAATTGGATCATTGTAGTAAGCCTGAAGAATCAAGAGCTTTACAGTACTGTTGTCCATTCTGTACAAAACGATTTAGTTCTCAAAAGCGATTTGATCTACATGAACGTACATATGAAAAATACATTCGTTATCAGTGTCCCAAATGCAATGATCTGTTCAACGAAGAATTAATCTTAATTAAACATCATGAATTACACGACATTAAAGAAGAATATATATGCGAAGTATGTGATGAAAGACTTCAATCAGTTAACATTTTAAACCATCATCTGCAAATGCGTCATAATCGAATTGATTTTATGAATTGTAGTCATCATGAACGAAATATAACATCTAGTTACAAAATAGTACTAGTCCCTAGTGATTCATCTGATTCAATAGAACCCATTATAAAGGACATGAGTTCACCCATTTCAAACCCCATTTCTGAGGATCCAAACAAACAAACTTCTGACGATTCACATAGTAAGCCTGGTGAATCAAAAACCCTACATTATTGTTGTCCATTATGTATAGAACAATTTAGTTCTCAAGAGCAATTTGATCTACATGAGCGCACACATGAACCATACATTCGTTATCAATGTTCCAAATGCAATAAGCTGTTCAAAAAAGAATCAAACTTCTCAAAACATTATACATCGCATATCGGTAAACTAAATTATGTGTGTATAATATGTAAAAAAAAATTCTTATATCTAAACAATTTAAAGTCCCATTTACATAAACATCATGTTTTAGTTAAACATTCGAAGTGAAGTCGATATACTCGTTTATCAAGTCAATTAAAATACTACAATAAAGTACTACCTACTAATGATTTATTTAAACATATGACTTATTCAATAAACTAATGTATTGTTATATTGTAACGCTCATCTAAAAAATATATAAGTTAATTGAAGAAAATAATTTTAAATGCATTGTACAAACTTAATGCTACTGTAAAATGTTTAAATAAGTATTTTAATGTACTTAATTATTGAATATTTTTAGCTTGAAGGAAAAATGTAAATTGTGCCATTGATTTTAAATATATGTATTAATTATCATTAATTAGGTTTATAAATATGTGTTTGATATTATATTATATAATCTTACATGTATGAATATATTATTTTTATTTTATGATTTTTTGAACCAAAAAAAAAATATATATTTATGTATATATTAATATCATACAAAACTATAGTTTATTTAAATTGAATATTGTTTTACTTGATTTATACTTGTGTATGGTAATTTGTATTTATATGTTAGCATTGTCAGGTTAATTGCTTTAAAAATTAGTAAGTAACTTTACTAGTTACTCATTATTTAAATGTAATGAGTTTACATTTTACGTTGCTTAAATAAGATAGTAAGAAAATTACTTTAATTTTTAATATAAAAGTAACTATGTTATTTTCAAGTTACAATTAAAAAAAAATTGTATAAATACATTTATCAGTATAATCTTTTATCTATATATTTATAAATATAATATTGTATTTAGTATATTATTGTATCAATAAATTTTTGTTGAAAAATATTTTAGATTGTAGATACATATTTGTAACACGTTATATCAAAGAAACGACTTATCTAAAATAATTTACATTACATTTTCAATACACAGTAAAAATTGTAATAAAATTATGTAACGCATTACTATAAAAATAATGACTATTTTTTTTTATGTTACTTCCCTATACTGATTGTTCATTATATTTATTATTCAAAAACTACAAATATTTGTTCTTATATAATTAAATTTGTAAATATATATATAGTTTTATTAAATAGACCATTTTTGATAGTAATATAAAACATTTATTGGTAAATGTGCATACATACAGATAAAAATGTATAATAGATATTATGCATTACTTTTTATTTGTTTATGTACACAGAAAAAATATCTAATGAATTTAAATTTAATTCTTTAATATTATGTATTTTAATCATTTCAATACAAAAATGTCTATTAGACCTATTATTATATTGTATGTATTTCATAATAATAAATGTTGTTTAGATTTTAAAACTATGCCACTTATTTTATTAATCAAACTTTCATAAAACAAATCAATATAAAAAAAAAACGTAACATTTTTTAATGAGAGAATTTTTTTGTATTTTCAACTATCTGAAAATAAATTAAAATAAAATAATCTCGTAATTTTATTTATAGATAGTTGTTAATATAATTTTAAAATAGATAATTGTTATTATGTAGTAAATTGTTTGTTGTATGTTACATGTGTTTTATTTTGAATTAATATTTATGTGTCAAAATAATGTAAACTTCATATGTCCATATTGATTTGTTTCATTGGTAATATTTATTGTTTTAACTAATAATAATTTATGTGAAAATTGAAAATATTTTTACACATATACTTATGGCTTTAGATTGATTGAGATACAATTTAATAAATATGTGTGTTCATTTATGTATTTTGTTTGACTTGATAGATTAATTTAAATTTAAGACATACTTGTAATATTTAAATAAACGGACATACAATTGTAAATTATATTAAATGTTTAAATGTTTTTTAAATTATTACTATGATATATATGTTTTATTTACTTTCTTATATTATAATTTTATTTAATTATATAATTACGACTTATTACTAATAAAAAGTATTTATTATAGATGGTTAGCTATAATCATATAACTATCATAGAACTAGTATAACTGAATAATTTATTATTTGATCTACATAATATTTTATTGTAGATTTTATAATTTTTAATGCAATATATATATATATATATATATACATATATTATATGGTTAAAATATATAGGTAGGTATTTAATAATAATTGTAAAATGAACATATTGATATTTTAATAAATTTCTTGTTTTAAAATGTTAATATTTAAAAAGTATTCTTTAATTTAGAAATGGATGTATCATATTATATTACACTATGACATGTATCTTATCACTACGTGTTAGTAGATTTTTTACAAGGATTTTTGTATTAAAAAATTAAAAATTATTATTATTTTTTTAAATTCAAAAACAGTTGGAAGTAAATTCATTTTAAAAGCAGTAGATCTAGTATAATTTATGTTTAAGTGTAACAAGTTATAATGATTATTAATGATTTTGAATAGAAAAAAAAATTCAATTTTTAACTAAAAATTTTATAATAAATTATTTCATGTACTTGTATAGATATTTCATAATTATAAAATATAACTAATTCTCAACTAAAATTTGTTTTCTAAAATTGTTTTTAATGTGACGTATGTATTCAATAGGTATACTCAACAATATTGCTGATATTCAAACTGCTTTTTAAGAAGTACCTTTATGTTAAGTACAAACTCCCACCAGCTTAATAACAGATATATAATATTTTGTATCTATAGTAAGTAATTGCGGCCTATACGTTTTATAAACAGTCAATCAATAATTTTTTTCCTATAAAATAGATCATAAAAAACCATGCACATAATTCATTATAATAAAATAATTACCTAAAATGAATTAATGTACAATATTTTAAAATAATTATCTAATATATAATATAGTTTATTCACTTACCTCAACATATGATGTTACGAATTTGTAAATTTTATTCGCGATTGTGCAATGGTACACGACAAAATAAAATTCATTTGTCACTCTCCGTGAGTATATATACAAAAAGTGAACAAGAAAATATATAATGGTGACCACGATAATATATACTAGTTGTGAACTACAGACAAATTTGAGATAATTAGGTGGATACGTTATTAACTTTATCATTTAAAATATTGTGTTCTCACTAATCCCAAAAATCTATACGTTTTATCCAAAAATAGATATTTATCTACAATCTGCTATAATATGATATTAAACCATTAAACGGTAAATGATAAAAGTTTAGAGATTCGTTAAATTGTTTTAAAGAACACATTTTCTACCATGTTATTTGAATATTATTTGGGTAGATTTTTAGATTTACGCGAGTTTTTGGGGTCTCTATTTTTTTTATATGATAAGCGCACTTTCTAAAATTCAGTAAGTGTGCTATTCGGCGCATACCCTCTTTTATATCCATTAAACATTATAAATAATAAATACTTTAAATAAGTATAGATGTAAAGACTTAAAATGGGTCAAATAGAATTATAGAAATTTATTAATTCCACAGACGATTGGCATTGAATATTATTAAGTTATTAAGCTTGACACAATTTTTCTCATCATCACTACATGTAATTTTCTGGACATGATTGCCCCACACATACAGGGGTGGATTCAAGGCACTATGCGAACGCATAGGGCGACAACATTTTATTGAATATTGGTTTTGTTTTTGTGTAATAATATTACATTACATTATAATATAATAATATTACATTACATAATGTTACAAATTTTTTAAAATTTATTTTATCGTTACAAATTTTGAACGGCGTATGAGGAGGATTTTGTATTCGTTTATTTTTAGCAACGTAATATTAATTTTTCCCAGGAACTCGTTGATAATGAGGACGACGACGACGACGACGATTGTACTTGATTATAGCTTATCTCAAGACGGGTTCCCGCGGCACGTGGCACGCCGAGTCACGAGTCAATCACGCTGGCAAGTGCCGTGGGAACGCTCTAGGATATCCGAAAATTGTCGGCCCGTCGTGTAGCTCGTTGCTCGTCCAAGTCGCGCACCGTGGGAACCCGTATGCAGTTATGGCGTTATCGGTACAAGTTCATCACGGATAGGTTTCACCTTCAATTTAATCACTCATTAGTTGGACAAAGAGTGACACGTTAGTGCGTTACCGTATTATTATTGTTAATAATATCACGATTATTTGACAAGTAAATTCCACAATTTATCCGATAATAATTTTATTGAATTAGTCGATAGTTATCCGTTAAGTATAGGTACGTAAGCTTAAGTCATTTAAAGTGACGACAGTTTTGTTTAAACGTAAATTTATTTAACGATGTTTAATCATGTAGAAGTTATTTTTTTCTGGATAGGAGCAGTTTTATTTTATTTTCTATTTTCTGTATTTCATCTTAAATCAAATCAATTGTTTCATTTTAAATTGAATAGGCCGACAATAACGCGTTGATGATCATTTGCTATTTTTCCAAGACTGCATTTTCGTTTGTATCCACGAGTTTTAATGGTACTAAGGAAATTAAAAATAAACTCCCGTCACTTTTACATTTTTGTTAACTATTATTTAAACCACTTCTTCACTTAACACATATTCAATATCACCCTCATTTCCTTCTACTTCATTTTTTACTTATTATTTGACTTGCATTTTGGTGATATTCAGAGTGACCGACACTTTCATCACAACGTAGAGTTGCCATACATTTATAAGGCAACATCGGGACAAAACAAACACATTATTGAGTAGGAACATAATTTTTATATAACTTTTAATATATTGAGAGGACCAGTGGCGTATACAATGTCAGATCCCCCTAAAGCTGCGGCCACACTTAACAAACGTTTGGGGAAACATTGTTTGTCAAACATTTGTCGAACATCCGTCAAACATTTGTCGAACATTTTATTAATGACAACAAACGTTTGTTAATAATTTGTTATTCGCTGTATGTTTGCCAACAGTCGTGACTATGTCAGATATAGAACAAGTCGCATGCTGCATTGGCGCTGATGCGTTTGTTATAATGCGTAATAAAACATAAAAAAAAAAATAATAAAAAAAGAAGGTGGTGGGAAAAACCATTTTTTCACTTATAGTGGTAAGAATTTAATTTTAGATTTACATGACAGTGATTTATTTAGTAATTTTACCAGAATCTCAAGTATTGATTTTGAATTTTTAATTAATTTAATTGGC